TAGCTTGGCTAGGGTTGCCAGGTCTGGGTTGGAAAAGACCTGGAGACTTTGGGGGTGGGTTCAGGAAAGGGCAGGTTTGGGGGAGGGGAGGGGCCTCAGCATGGTCCAGTGCCATAGAGTCCACCCTTCAAAGCAGCCATTTTCTCCAGGGGAGCTGATCTCTGCCAGCTGGAGATCAGTTGTAAAAGCAGGAGATCCCCAGGCCCCACCTGGAGGCTGGCAACCCTAATCTTGACAGTTTGAGACCCTAGTGCTGCATGATGGAGTGAGCGCCCGTCTCTGGCCCCAGCTCCTGCCAGTGTAGCAGTTTGAAAGCAAGAAATTGCAAGTAGCTAAATAGGTACTGCTTCGGTGGGAAGGTAACAGCATTCTGTGCACCTTGGCGTTTAGTTATGCTGGCCACATGACCACGTAAAAGTCTTTGGACAGCACTGACTCTTCGGCTTGGAAACGGAGATGAGCACCGCCTCCTAGAGTCGGATTCGACTGGCTTTCAAGCAAGGGAAACCTTTACCTTTATGTGCTTTTAAAAAAAATGTTCAGGTTTTTCTGTATACCTAGGGAGTCTCCTAAGATTGCAGAAAGATCAGTTTAGCCCCAATCCACGGATTTAGACATCCGCAGATTGCAGCCACAGCTGGATGGGCCACAAGGCTGTTTCCCAGTGTTGGAGTAGAGCAGGATTCTTTTGCACTGTTTTTCATGCCAGCAGGTCTAATAGCGGTGTAAAAGAGTCAGACATTATTCCTCCCTTTGTTCCTCCGACTGGAAAATAAATACCCTCAAGAGGCAGTATAACGTATTGGTGCAAATGTCAGATTAGAAGCTGGGTGAGGCAGGCTCACATCCTAACTCATTTACCACACTGGCTACTAAGGGTGCTTATTTTATGGTGGGAGGAACAGGGTTGCTCTGCTTTTAGACCTGCTGGCAGCAAAAGGAGTTCAAAAGCAACTTGCTCCACGCCAGCACTGTTGCAATGGAAAGGAATCCATTGATACCTTGGGTTATTCTGAGTAGTTCTTATGATGTGACTGCTTCTAATATTGAAGATGGGTTCTGATGCTAAGAATCCAGGCTGGATAGCTTCAGACAGTTCACAGTCATTCCCAATAAATGCAATTATTTCCCTAGTAATGTACGTAAGTCATCCAGAGAGCTTCCACAGCAGAGTCTAGTCCAACCACTACACTATATATCAGGGGTGGCCAAACTTGCTTAACGTAAGAGCGACATAAAATAAACATCAGTTGTTTGAGAGCCACAAGACATGAACAAATATTACACAGACGTTTTTATCTAAAATACGCAAATTTACTTTTTATTAACATTAAATTAGACTGCCCAAATAAAAACAAAAGGGATAAAAACAGATGATAATGATATTTATTTGTCCAATGATATTTATTTGCTTGCTAAAGATTGTCTGAGAGAGAAAGAGGGAGAGGGGTGGAAAGAATGCAAGGGGTGGAAAGAGAGAGAGAAGAGAAACAAAGAAAACAAATAGATGGGGAGGGACGGAGGAGGGAGGGGGAAGGAAGGAACAGAGAGAAAGAAAGGGAGAAAGAGAAAGCAGAGAAAAAAGGTGGAAAGAAAGCAAATAGATGTGGGAGGGAAGGAGGAAGGGAGAAAGAGAGAAAAGCAAATAGATGGGGAGGGAGGGAGAGAGAGAGGACAAAGAGAGAAACAGAAACAAAGAAAGCAAATAGATGGGGAGGGAGGATGGAAGGGAGAAAGAGAAAGGTGGAAAGAATGAAAGAGGTTGAAAGACGGAAAGAGAGAAATAGAAACAAAGAAAGCAAATAGATGGGGAGAGGGAGGGGAAGGAAGGAAGAGAGAGAAAGAAGGGTGTAAAGAAAGCAAATGAATGGAGAGGGAGGGAGGGAGAGGTGCAATTAAAGCAACTTTAATTTTAAATGTGTTCTCCAACCCTCTCATGCCCCCACACCAGCCAACTTGGCTTGGAGAAAGGATTTAAAGAGACAAATGCCTCCAAACTGGTGGGCGGGGCCTTATGGTGAGGTTTAGAGAATGCCTTTAACTTTAAATGTGTTCTCCAAGCCTCCCACCCCCGCTGCTGTGCTGGTTTTGCTTGGAGAAGGGATTTAAAGAAACAAATGCCTTCTCCGAGCCAAGCCAGCTGACTGGTTTGGCAGGGCTTGGAAAACACATTTAACTTTAGATGGGGGGGGGAGAGAAAGGTGGAAAGCAAGCAAGCCAAGTGGCTTGGCTTGGAGAAGGGATTTAAAGAAACAAATGCCTTCTCCAAGTGGGGGGGGGGCTTTGAGAACACATTTAAAGTTGCTTTCTTTCTCTGCTCCCACCCATCTCAAGCCTAGCTAGGGAAGGGGACACTGGCTGGGAAAGGAAAGACCCAGTGGGGAGGCATGCCTTCCCTTCACTTCCTCAGCTGCCCTGCCGGGAGCCACACAATATGTGTGAAAGAGCCACATGCGGCTCCCAAGGCACAGTTTGGCCACCCCTGGTATATACGATACTGCAATGAAAAATGTGTATATGATTCAGTCTACAGTACATGTAGGATGCTGAATAAGCACCATTAATAATCCATATCCTTCTTGCAAAAACAAAATCTTCACAGCATCTCAGTCAAGCTTTCTTTCTTTTTTTAAAAGCAGCATTTGGTAAACACTGGATAAATATAATCAGTAATCCAAAATACTCATTATGGAAATAACAGTTTAGCTTTGCTAGAACACCCACCAGTTTGGCTCATGCGAGATGTATCCAAACACGTTCAAATGTGCCCATGTGCATAAGTACACCACACATTCAAAGGCATAAAGAAAAGGGAGGGGGAGTCAAATTTTTTACTGGGGACCTACAGGTTTAGTGTCTGCCCATGTACCTAAAGAATCAGTTTTTTAAAATCACTTCTCAAATAGATGTCCCTGACTATGCAGGCACTAAAAGTTGGCAATGCATTCTACCCAATGTCAGCCATTCAAAAGATGTATCCAACTGCACAGGCACAAAGAGGGGATGTACTGCAAGTGTGGTTGCCACCCTCCAGGTGGGACCTGGAGATCTCCAGGAATTAGAACTGATCTCCAAGCAACAGAGAGCCGTTCCACTGGAGAAAATGGCTGCTTTGGCATTATACCACACTGAAGTCCCACCCCTCCCCAAACTCCTCCCTTCCCAGGCCGTACCCCCAATATCTCCAGATATTTCCCAACCCATAGCTGGCAACCCTAACTGTAAGCAATTTCATGCTTTATGGAAGTTGGTTGGTTTATTGATCCAAATAACTGTGACCCAAGGGATATTGGCTCTTCTCCAGTAAATGAGATGATTTAGTTTATGTACTAGCAAAAGCAGTGGCAAATGGTACTGACCAGCTACTGTTCATGCACAAAGCTGTTTGCTGTGGCACTGTGCTCTTGAAAAACTTCACAAGGGAACATTTAGGTGAACCAATCAGGAGCTTGCCTTGTGTGTCATCAAGGGAATTCAAACAAGGTATTTTCACTACAAAGTTCTCTTTATACCTAGCTAAAGCAAAATGTTAAGGGGTAAAAACTCATGGAAGCTGGTGGTATCAATGGTGCTATTTCATAGGCAGTAGTGTACTTTGAGTCAACAGTAATGACATACTATCAGCTTTGGTCTGAGAGTTTTCATCTGAGGCTGTGTAAAATGAAAATGTCCTTTAACAAAGGTTGGAGGGAAGAAAATGCAGTAGTGTACCTTGAATGGAGTAATGACAGAGATTAACTTCACTATGGCTACCTTGCCTCTGCTGTTTGCTGGCAGCGGTTCCGTAACAATCCTCTAAACGGTCACATATGACTAAATCTGGAAGCAGCCTGCCAACACTCTTTTCCAGTCAGTGGAAGAGACATTGATACCTCTCATGGGTGCAAACTGTCCCTGTGCTTGTACATGCTACAGCCCTGAGCCAACTTTTCCCATGTACACTGGAGAGAACATCTGTGCCCTTTTCACAGCTGAGCAAAGTGGAATGTTTATTTAATATGCAAGTCAGTGAATGGCCTCCTTTAGAGAAGGTTCTTGGGTTACACTGTGGAAATCAAACTGTGATCAAGGAATCTGGAGTCTGGCAGAGAATCTCAGCCCTGAAGGCAAAAGTCTAGAAACTGTGGCTGTCAGAAGCTTGAAAAATCATGGTTTCCAGAAACACAAATCTACTTTTTGTGTAGCACCTCAGTTCTCAAATATGTGATTTTGCTATACATCCAATGTTTAATGGAACTTTCTTCTGGATTCATCATGACACTACAGTGCTCTTTAGATAAATAACAAACCTTGCTTTTTCAGGGAAGATGTCAGGTAAAGTAACAGAAGGGTTGGTAGAGACATTAACCTTGCAGAAAATGTCTTTTGGGGTAAGCCAAACTGTTGATAAGGTAAGGACTGTACTTTAATAGTAAGCACATGCTCTGTAAACAGAAGGACCAGGTT